GCGGTGACATCAACAGTCCGACTGGAATAGACCAAACTGATTGCTTCTAGTCCACACCTGAGCGATACATACCGAAGCTCGTGAACTCATGAACCCTCTAGGCACTGCAGGCGCCTTGAGCAACAACAACAAAACAAAAAATAAATGTGGGACTGCTGTAGGAGGAGAAGGCTGGCTATGAAAACAGATGGGGATAGAGGCCATCCTGGACCATGATGATGATGATGATGATGATGTTGGTGATGGCGATGATGTTCATCATCATCATCATCATCACTATGGTGATGATGATGACGATGGCTGCGAATATGATGGTAACCATTATCCCTATGTAACCCCGATATACTATAGTTTCCATTTTCTTTTCCATTCTCCCTATATAACCCCAACAATTTGAGTGTGGTAGGAGTCGTAGTGTGAGGCAGAGCGGGAGTGGAAGTGGAGGCTGGTGGATGCAATACTATTACAAGACGTGATGACAGGAGCAACCAAAAATTGATTATACTTGCAGCAGTGGTGGCAGTAGTAGTAGTAGTAGTAGTAGCAGCAGGCAGCAGAGGCCGTGGTATGAGGCCATTCGGTGCGGGCGGACGTGTTGAGTTCTTTGTTTTAAGAGGTTTGTCGGGTCGAGAGGGTGGGGGTAGGCTGGGAGAGGATATTGTGCAGTGCAAAGTCACTTTGGCTACTGTTCGGTTTTGCGCAGTACAGCACCATGCCTACCAGACTTATGCTCATTCTCATCTGAGGTGGGGGGGTGTGATATCACGCAGTGCAGGGCATTGAGCTTGTGCTATGTTCTGCAGGGAACACCACGCCCATCACAATTGTGTTCATTCATTCCAGTGCTTATAGCTCCTCGGTTTGAACACTACCTGTCGGTTCGTACGTAAAGTCTCGACTTGCTTGCTGGCACTCATGCTGAGTGCTGTCCTGCGCTACCTGCCACTGGCTTATTTTAGCGTTCTCATCGCGAGAGCTCATAGAGTACTTAAACGCTCAGTTCAATGCACTTCAAAATAATGCTTTGTTCAACGCACACTGTCAAAACTGAACTTCGGATGTGAATTTCAACGACTTATCCGGCACCCACAAGACACGGAGACCTTCTAGCACTACTATTACCACTACTACCACTACTACCACTACTACCACTACTACCACTACTACGACTACTACTACTACTACTACTACGACGACGACGACGACGACGATGACGACAACCACGACGCCGCCGGCGACGATGACGACGACGACCACTACGTTTACGACGGCAGCGGCGGCTGCGACGGTGGCGACAACGACGACGACGACGAGTACGCTTCTGTTGCAGTCGGAGGCTGCGGTAATGGTTGTGTTTGGTGGTGCAGCAGAATAAAGTAGCGAAAGAAGCAAAAGAAGGACAGTGGTAGGATAATGGTTGTGGGGTGGTGGTAGTAGCGGTAGCAAAAAGCAGAAGACACGAAAGTGGCAGCAGCAGTAGCAGCAGTCGTCGTCGTGGTCGTGGTGGTGGTCGTGGTCGTGGTGGTGGTCGTGGTCGTGGTGGTGGTGGTGGTCGTGGTGGTTGTGGTGGTCGTGGTGGTGGTGGTGGTCGTGGTGGTGGTGGTGGTCGTG